TTTTACACAACATGGTGCTTTCTTTTGATGTACATGTACTGGAAGAAAAATGACCTGTAAATGAAGATCAAACATTGCAGCTGAAAGTCAGTCATCAAGCTTTTCATTTTCTTTGCCATCTTTTTTAAGTTTTCTGACTCTGACGTTTCAGTGGAAAAGATTGTTCAACCTTTGTTTTGTCGCTTCATCCCCTGTCCTGTTAGCTGAACGAATATTTGTCCTTTTTTTGGATGATGGAAGGCAAGGTTCTTCATCTAAAAACTCTGGTATATGTGCTCAAACTTGTTCTACTGCTCCACTAACATTCTATATTTCTGTAATTCTGTGGTAAGTTCAGGCTTGAGTGCAGGTCCTTTTAACTCGAAGATGACATACAATTAATGTGATTCAACACGAAGGCGATGCAGTACACAGTACAAGAAGAACCCCAATGTCAAGGGCAGGGAAGTTTTTGTCCCTACCAAATCAAGATCAAGGGGAAGACCACGTGGAACCTGGAGAAGAGTCACGGAAATGGATGTACAGAAAAGTGGGAAGACGTGGAGTGACATCAAGCGACTAGCAGATAGAGAAAGGGGGAGAGTGTTTGTTCATGGCCTATATCCTGATCCAGGGTGAGAAAGGCAATGATGATGATGATGAAATGAAGACAATCATAAAACTTACAAGAGTAAAACAGTTTTATCATGTGACTCCTATTTTTTCTTGGACAAAAAGAAACTATCACTATCAGTGAACTTGTGTTGAATGTTCGTAGGGATTTAGAAACTGACTAAATCTTTTACATATCACGGAGACACCAGAGCTGTTCATTTTGTGGTTGTTGTTGTTTTTTACATAACCAAAATATGTGAGTTTGGCATCTCGAGTTGATAAACATCTTTAACAATCAAGAATGTAATCCCATACGATGTGAATGGGTTGAATTTTATGAATAAATTGTTGAAATCATCGTATAATATGACAATGTCAATACTAAGAGTGACTTTGCTTTGCTCGCGAAGTGAAGTGAAACAGGGTAAAGATGATCAAAACATACCATTCTTTACTGTTTTTGTTACACTCATGTGCTATTCCCAAATTGAGATAAGTCACAAGCTGACCTAAATTTTGGTACAGTTTGAAGGGTTTGTTTGTATGAATGAATGAGGTGTAGAGACCTTACGCCAATGTAGTCTCTGACAGCAAATATTCCCACACAATCATTGTTACAAGTAAACGCAAAGCCATAAAAATATAGGTAGATAATTTGCTAAAGAATAATTTTTTCATGTACTCATTTTTTGTAAACAAAAGAATGATTTTGAAAGTTCAATGTTTTTTTTATCTTTAGTTCTAGTATATTGATGCTCTGAATATTTAGTTCGAGCAAATGTGTCTTACGGAACCTTTCTCCAGACACACATACATTATGATGAAAATAAAGTGTTCTATCCATCCACTGTCAGGTCTTTCTGCCTGCCACAGCTTCACCAGAGCCCCATCAGCCAGCAACATGTTAAGGTTATCAAGGTCGGCCTTCACAGCTAGCGTAACGCCCACGTGACAGGACGTCACACCGTACCTCACCCGAACCCAGAAAACCTCTACTCTGTTCTGTTTCCATCTCCCAGGACGAGGACCAAGGGGTTGGACTTTGGGAGACAAAAAAAAAGGTTAGTAAAAAATTTTTTTTTTCTAGAATTTTGTCCCATGCCCGTTCTACGCATTATTCGACGCCATCGTTGAAATTTGCTGACTTAGTAGTGAAAAACAAAACTGACAAAATGAGTTAGTGCATGTTGTTAAAACTAAAACGAAGCAAAAGCAGGGACAACATTTTATATACATAAAATTTGAAAGTACATGAATTC